CCAAAAACAAAAAAATAGCTCTGATTAAGTAGAAGCGTCAGTCTATCACAGCGTACACTTCCCAACTTCGCACTCGATGTGACGGGAGCAGAAAACAGAACCCTTGCATTTGACAGTCACCGATTGACAATGCAGCAAATTTTAATGAAAGGCAACTGAAAGTATGGAAATAAAATGTACAGTGTTTATATTGCAATTTTCATATAAATTGAGTTCTTTACCGATTGGTTTTCACGGCAAACGAGCTGAATTTATTTTCTAACAAAGTCAATTTTATTCAGCTGCAGTTAGAGAGTTCGGAATCAATTAGTAAGAGCATTTGATTGGCCTTATTGGTTGGGTTTAAAATTTATTGAATTTTTCCCACAATTTTTTGCTATTTTTGGCAAATGGCAATTGGTAAGATAACTTCAGCTTAGTTTTTGTTCATAAATAAACCTTTTAATTGGTCGACTTAGCAAATTTATACTGCATCTACAATAGATAAACATTTTGGAATATTTTTCACAAGGAATGTATAAGTAATCGACCGTTTTTTCATTATTTTAAAATAGATTCTCGAAAGATTACGAAAATAAATCTGTTCGTTAGAAAATACTTAATCTCTTGCCTCAATTAAATCACGCTCTGTTATGGAGTTCCTAATCAGTTAATTAAAGCAGCATGAGCTTAAAAGTTTCATAAATTTTTCTTTCGCTAACCCAATTTATTGGTATTTTGCGGAGCCGGAACAGTCGTGCAATTGAATTTTCGCATGATTTTGCCTCATTGCTGTCATAAGAAGCTATTAGCGTACTTACTGCCGTCGCCCAAAGCCTCAAAACACACAAATGGGCCATAGACCGCGAATGCCCGGAAACCGTTGGAAAACGAGCAGCGGGAAAACTGGGGAAAAGGCCAACATGAAAAGCATAATTCACTGGTGCTGCAAAATGTTGAATTGTAAATGATCAGGCAACGGTGCAGGCAGAGAAAAAATGGCAAAAAATGACTGAAGGGGGAGCGGAAAACGGGGGTAAGTTAGTGAAGCCATTAAGAGGTCTGCGAAATTCCATGTACAACTTGGCCAACTATACAAATATTAGAATTTCTTCCGCGCACATACACAGCTGCATCTGCAGTTGCCCGCAGGTATGCTATAATATTTTCAACATTCTTAAACGTTATTGAATTTTCCGGTCTCTCGGAGGGATGTGGTCGTTCATCCACCCACCACCACAGCCCAACTTTGAGTGTAAGATTGATTTATTTTCCATTTTCTGTGCTTTGCTTTCTGCTGCCCCACATTTTTCATAACTTTTTCTGTGTTTCCCACTCGCCTGCAGTAAATTTATTTAAGTTGTAAATTGTGTTGGAAATTTGTAAGCATTTAAAAATGATTTGCAGCTGTCCGCTCTCTCGATTTGCTTTAAAGTAGAATAAATCCATTGCCACCACTTAAGTACTATCAAGGCCTTATGCAGCTGCTAGGAATTGCGTTGCGTATACGCAACGTCGGATCTGTGCATATATAAATTATGGCAATAAAAATAAAATCAACAGTACTGTGCCTTTGGTTCGTTTTCGGCTTAGTTTCTCACTCTTTTTGGGCAACTTTTCACTTTCCTTTTTGCTTTCCTTGGATCCGAAACTGGAACTGGAGCCGGGGACATTATTTCTTTGCTTTCATTTCCGTCTGTTTTGTCTGCTTGGCTTTATTGCAGTTCTCCCAACTCGGTTTCTTTTTCCTCTCCTTTTTTTCCCTGGCCCAGCAAATAAATATCACAAAAATTCGCTTCCAGTTCCGTCAGGCATTTTCATGAATTTCTCTTGCATAGAAAAGAATTTTCCCTCGATTTTCTTTGCTCCTTTTTTTTGTTGCTTGCTACTTTGCCAGCTTTTTGTTTCGGGTTTATCCGCCGCGTATTTCCCACGACTGCTGCGAAACAAAACAATGAAATGAAAAATTATGGCCAACGCCCCTCGTCCTTCCCCCACTTTTTGCCTCGCCCTCATCCGGTGTGTGTAAATGTGTTTTTGCCATCAATTTTTATTGCAAGCTGAGTGTATCAATAAATTAAACATAAAATTTTCAACCGGCGGAAGTCGGAAGGCGAGAAGTGCAGCAGCCACGCCCACCGTCCGACTGCAGACATAAATTGAGCATCTTGTTGAGCCATTGAATTGATTTTGTGGCCATAAAATGCATTCGGATTTGGCCAATTGGCATTGAAGTTGTTTCTCAATTTGCTTGGGACTTCCCACCGCTCTCCCACTCGTCATCTGGCTTTTCCTTTGAGCATTCTGATGGATGGCCAGGCAATTTATATTTAATATGCTTACCAGCAAGGCAAATCATTGGCAAGTGCTCTACTTGGCCAGAAATAGCCAAAAGCTAATTGTCGGTTTCAGGGATTCCGGCCTACGAGACTTCTCCCCAAGGCTTATTCAAATAGTTGTTTCGCATCCTTCTAGAAGCATTAATCTTTCCGCTCGCATGCTCCTTGGCAGCAAAAAAACAAACAAAACGCAAAATCAATATATTCTATATCAATATTAATGGACCAGTTTGCTCACACACACACAGGTCCCAAAGACAGGGATAAAAAAGTGTTGACAGCTGCTTTTATTCACCTGTCAGGCACACAAGCCGCGCTAAACCGTTGATAAGCAGCCGGCCACCAGCGTGTCATACATGTGGCCCTTTCCCTTGGAAAACCCAGGTCCAGTATCTTCCCCTGTCCAACCAAGAAGACCGGGCAATAAAAATCCATCAGCATCATTTATCAATAGGGGGTGTTTTTCCGGGCCAGCCCAGTGTGTCTATAGAAATATGGAAATATCAAGTAGTCATGTAGGAGAGCTGAAGGAAAATGTGTCATCTGTCGAAAGAAACTTTGTCGGGCCCAATGCTAGACTCCAGTGATTGTCGCCCTGGACTTGCTTGTCACAGAGCATAAATGTCAGAAAGTTCGGAGTTGATAAATGACACAGAGTGCCACTTGCCAATGTTTTAATTTGAGAAAAGACAAGGGGTTCGCCGAAAAAAGGCCAAAGACCAGCGGGTAAGAACAAACACTTAAAGGTAAATCGAATAACTGTCGAACTTTGAGGATTATATCATAGTACCCAAACCTTTTTATTCAATAGTATTAAGAGAACATAAGCACCCTTAAGAATAACGAAACCAAATGAAAACATTTTGTCTACTAAAATATGATTTTAATCTAAAAATATTAAAAACAGTTATTAAAGCTTATAAATTTTGTTTGCTTTGTAAAATCTTATAGAATGTTTGACATCATTTAACATTCACCTATAATACCTTTTATAGAACATTGCACTGCTATAAAAGACAAGAGTAATTGATGAAAAATGTGATTTACCATTATAAAATTAAAGCCAAATCTAAAGAACTTATTGCTTGTATTAATTTCTAGTCATCAGCTAAAATAAACTTCCGTCCTTCCTGTAAATTTCCCGCTCCACCTCCAACTTGTTTAGTAACATTTTAATTAGTTTTTATCTCCCTCCATTTGCTGCTGCTGTCATCTGACGGATCTTTAGCATAAAGTGCAAATGTAATTCAATTTCGATTTCCCCAACGTGCAGCTGTAGCTGACAGTTCAATTCCCGATACTTTTCTGGTTTTTTATTTATATTCGGGTGCAAGTGTCTCTGAAAGTTATTTGCTGTCGCTTGGCTCTTGTTTGCTGGTTGCTCACTGATGGAGCTCCTTTTGCAAGGCAAATGAGTGCCGTGCCAAATGCCACGCCCCGAAACGCCCAACAAACCCATCCCCCAACCCCCCACCAACTACCCCACTCCCCCTTAACCCGACCAACAGACAACGAGTGCAGGCTCTCAAACAATATCTGATAAGCTGCATCATACATTTGCATACTTCCGGCAATTTGTTTTTGTGCGAGCCAAACGAATCGAGACAAATGCAATAAGCGCACAGCAACAACAAACCGCTATAGAAAAAGTGCGACAAAAAAATGGTAACTGCTTAGTCCTCCCCAGCAGCGAAATGTTTATACACTTCCGCATAAAACTGTCACAGGAATTAGTCTCCAATTCAAATTTTAAGTAGAATCGGCTCTAGTCTTACAAAATATACCATTATTATTTCATCACAGTTCTTCCAAATATTAAAAAACGGGCAACTTTGCAGCTCTTTCTGGAACTATAAAGATCGAATTATACATTTGTACAATATACGCTTGCTTTTTGAGTTAAAGCTAATTATGTGGATTAAAGATGCGACAATTCTATGCGATTTGGTTTTATAATGTTTTTATTGGAAGATTGTCCTTTAAAAAATCAAAGATGTTGGATTAGTCAGACCAAGCCGATCCCGAATAGGGTATTCACAACGCAAACAACTTGGGGAAAGAGATAAAGCCGAAAGAGTTCACTGGCGCATACTGCTCGATTCGGATTCCCAGGCAGAGTCGGAGGATGTTCGCATTGTGCATACAAATTACGCCCCCGGAACAGTTCCACGCCCCTGAGAACTCCCCCAAAAAATACCCCTTTGATGCTCCCCGCCCCTGCCCACGCATTGGTTTATTTAGGTGCCTCGCCTGTGACTCGCAGCAAGTTGTTTGCCATTTGCTGTGAGCTGTGTGCGTCTTTTGCCGGGCAAAAATATTGTTAGCCATAAATTTTTGGCAACACAGCGGAACAGAGGAGCGCACAAAGAGCTGGAAAAAAAGTGCATTCAACATCGAGCAGGAAGCGCTGCATTTGTAGTCACAAATTCCGGGGCATTTGTTTAGAAACTTTGTCCACAGTCCGCGACTGAAACACGCCATGTAATGTCAACTTGATTCGAGTCCAAACAAGAGCTTCCACTTGAGCAAGTTTGCAGCTCAGCGGAGCGCACCCAGTGGAGCAGATAGATGTGCCACGGATCCGCTTTTGTAAATATGGGAATTTGTGTACATAAATTGGGGACATCGTTCAGGGGATCAGAGTAGCAGGGCTAACTTCCATCAAACTGCAGCTCCGAATTTTAGCTCGGAGCAGAAACATACCCCATTTATACACACGAACACTGCTGTCAAAAAAATAATAAAAGACGAAATCAAATAAAAATAGAATCACCTCAAAGTGAAAGCTGCTGGCGCAGCACTTAATTTTAATAAAAAAAATAATAAATGAAAAACTCACAAGAGACTAGTTAGGAACCCAAACACGAAGATGAGTTTGACGGAGATGATGCGAATAAAGACGATGCCAGAAGAGAAGAAGAATGACATCAAACTTGCCCAGCATGGTGAGATATTAGAGCAAATCTGAACTTCACACATCTAATCTAGACTCCCAATGTATAAAATACTGTTAAAACCGCGAAAATGTGTGTTCTCATATCTGCTAATTGCAAGCATTTAATTTAGAATCATACCATTTGTGGGATTGAACTTATCATATTACAGCCAAACGGTACCCAATTATATTCTTACTGATTTTATTTGTATTTGTTCCATAAAGCTATGTTTCATTTAATTCGAATAGAGAATTTCACAAGTTATTTAATAAAATCTAAAAATTTGGTTAGAAAACCAAAAAGGATTTTGTTCCATTTGACAGAATAATAAATTTATTATTCATTGATTGAATGGACAAAAAGATATAAAACATTTTACAAATATGGGGAAGGATAAATACAATTATTTATCTTGATTTGATTTAAACCTAAGCCCCATTCCCAATCAGAGTTCGCCCACGTGCGATCGGTGCAAATCGGCTGTGTGTTGGATGTCCTAGCCGAAGCCATCGAACGGGTAAAGATCTCGCTAATCATGCCAAAATTGCTGGAGCATCCCAAACAATTGGCGCAGGTTCTGAATGGCACCAAATTCGAGCCGGCCGTGCACCTGGTCGATTCCTTTATTCGTCGCAGGGAATTCATCTTGAGGGAGAAGCGTCCGCCCCTGATGGACCATGGAATCATCCAGATCATCGACTTCTTCCAGCGCAACAACAAGATGGTCCACCTGTTCCCCCGCTTGTACAACCACATGAGCGCGGACGAGAAGAAGCTGCTGATGGCCTTCCAGATGCTCTACGATCTGGCCAAGGACCGCTTGTACAGGACATCCACCGACGCCATCGCCCAGGAGCGGCAGCTGCATGCCATGTACAAGCAGAACGAGGTGGTCAAGGAGCAGGTGGAGGAGCTGCGCAACAAGATCCACGCCCAAAAGGTGGCCATCAGGCAGCGAATGGCCGCCAAGGAGGCCTATTTGCAGAACTACGAGGAGCTGATCATGAAGAAGAGGCGCGAGAAGAACGAGCGCATCCAGAAGGAAATGTTAGTGCCTGAGGGGCACGCTCGTCGAGATCTTTGTCCTTTGCAGTTTGATAGCTTCCGATTATAATGGCACTCCCTCCCCCAGCGATCGATGCACTCGCTTGGTCCGCGCCAGCAAAAAATCGAGCCTCGAGCGGCAGGCTGACCTGGAAGATCAGCTGCAGAAGACGCGTAATAACTTCGAGACGTCGACCAAAACGTATATGAAACAAGAGAAGGTGTTCCGAGAGGAAAAGTGAGTCATAGTTGCCCTTGCAGACCCAGTTTCCATCCCCCGAATCCCCCAGAAACAAGCTGATCCTGCAGCTGCAGGCCATCATCAAGAAGTACGACCACAGCATTGGCGAGAAGATGATTGAGAACATGCAGCTGACCGACGAGCACAAAAAGGCCAAGAAGGCGCTGGACGAATTTCTGGTTGGGTTCCGTAAGGTCGAGCGGGTCTACAAGCAGATCGTGGTTAAACGCGAGGAGGAGGAGGCCAGACGACGCCAGCACCGCATCATGGTATTCGCCATGAATCGCGCCGCCACCAAGATCCAGAAGTACTGGAGGAAGTGGAAGAAGCATATGCGCAAGAAAAACCGGCGAAACAAATGATCCGTGTAACAATTCCGAAAAATATTTAAATTGCCAGTGAATGCCTATAATTATAAATGCTAATACTCGTGAAACTACTTAAACTATAAATCACAGAATAAAAGTAAAATAAGTCCATTTCTTTTTCTCTATTAACGCAGCTGTTTAATATTAACCTTGTCTAATCATATGTAGCAGTATGTGGCAGACATTAAAAAAACCTTATTTGATTTGAATAATTTCGGTTGCATTGAGAATCGTAAAAGACCCAAATTCCGAGGTGATAATAAGTTCTCCTGAGACGCATAGAATGTTCAGACTGAAACAATCGTTATCGGTCTTCAAGCCTGTTACATTAACATACCTGCGGTTTTTCTCCCAAAAAGTACTAGAATAATCAGCTAATACTCCATCCAAATTGAAATTCATCCTGTCACTAACTGCTTTTACTCCAGCTGGATTGGCTTATTAGGGGAAAAACTAATTTCGCTTTTAATCTGCTGGCTGCCAAGCCACAAAGACACCTCCAACTCTCCTCATCTCTTTTACTATCTGCCCTTCATGGGGTGTCATTTGCATTTAAAATGTGGGTGAAGGGTTTCCATTTTAGCCCTTTCTTTTTTCGGCCGTTTTCGGTGTGGAAAATGCATAGAAAGGGTGATTTTTATCACAATATGCAACCAGAATGAGAGGAACATTTTGTAATGCCAAGGGGCTAAGTGCAGTCAAGTCAATGCCAAAAACTGCCTGCTCGATGCGGCAGGGAATTTTGTGGAAAAAATAAAATGTAAAGAGCGGGCCAGCTGGGCAACCAGGCATTGGACCATCGAACCGAACCAACGACCGTATATGCAAATTACGCGCACTGCTCATGCCCTGTCATGAATTGTCACCCATTTTCCGACTGAGATGCTTCGACACGCGCTGTGTGGGCTGTGGGCGGTAAAGGGAAGAGGGAGTGTTAGTGGGAGTGGGAGTGGCAGTGGTCCTAACCAGGAGGTGGATAGACCGCAAACAGCCAAAGGCCCTCCTGGGTGCAGCGACACTCATCCGCCCCGTTGGCTGCGCCATGACTTTGCGCCCGACAGCAGTCGACATGAATATATCTGCTGCTAATATCGGGTTCCTTCCGCCCCCGAAAACCACACCACCCCCACAAATGGTTTCGAATTGCTAATTTTATCAGCACGTGCACACATGTGCTACGGCAGTTTCTGCGCCAGCAGGACATCCTTTCTGCGGCCGAGGACATTCGTTATCGGCGATCTACGTTTGGCATTTTATTGCTGACCATTTCAGTTCGGCCCATAAAGATTGATAATTATGTCGGGCTAATATTGTCAGCCGTAAAAATTGATATCATCGGATGGGTGGTAGAAAATATTTTATGGTCAACCTTCAGGCCGATTGTGCAATGCACATAAAAAGCTCATAATAATGCTGCACAGAAAGAGAGAGAAAAAAAAGAGAGAGAGAGTGGTAAAGAATCCAATGAATATAAACAACAACAATTGAAATAATGGCAGGCAACTGAAATCCTATCACAGGACTCAGCCTTACAACTCGGCAAAGACCGCAGCGGAATTGCTCTCCACCTCTATCGCCTGCTATTCCCTATCTATATACGACTGTCCCTGTGTTTGTATGTATGTGCTTTGTCCTGACGATTTAATCGCAGTAATGGAAATGTCTTTTTTTATTAGAGATTTTCATTTCGTGCATATATACGAATACCTATTCGGAGTATTTGCCGTTTCAATTGTTATATTTATTGTGCCACTGTCCCTGCCGATGATTGCAATCGAAACCAAAACCTCTCACGGGTTTTTAGTAGGTTTTCCTTAAATACTCTTACTAAACATATTTAACAATTTTCTTTTTATTATGGAAATGTTTGGCAAGTAGTTTATGGGGTGAAAAGTATTTTTATTAGTATACCTCAAACAGAAAACCAAACGTAACATAACTATTACAAGTCTAAGGTGTCAGAAATTCTTTGTCTACAATTCAAAATAAGAACTCGCAAATGAATTAAAAATATCAAATATTTATCTTCAAAGATCGTGCTGTAACTACAATTGGTCAAGTGAACTAGTAACAAGAACAGTATTCGTATTTACTCTTTTCTCCAATTTCTATCTTGTAAAACAATAAAATTCTCTCAGATTAGGGTAACGAAATCTCCATTTAAGCCCGACTTTTAATTTTATTTTGCTTTGATTTTAGGTTCTGTCCGCCTGTTGACATTGTACACAGGATGTGTGTAGATTGTGGACTAGATGCATTCAATCCGTGTAGGATTCCATTTAGGTCTCCGCTTTGTCATTCAACTAAATCTCGTTGATAGTATAACTGGTTCAATATTCATTAAATTAAGTGATTGCCATTCATTTGATTGTGTCGGGCTTCAAACGTTGAATGATAGATGGCTGATATCCCCACAGTCAGCCCTGTTTTCGCTGCTTTGAATACTTGGCATTCAAATGTTTTGGCGGAATGCACACACAAGTATGCCAGCCATCTCCTTGACTCGAATGCCTTAACCCATGCTGAGCCATGTGCCCTGTCATGGTCGTTGCATTCCATGGAATCCATGGAGCCCACTCACTTCCTCACGAGCCCGCAACAACAAACCCACTTTGGACTATGGCTTTGGCTATGGATACGGGTAGTATGGCTCGGCTTTTCTTTTATTCGCTGCCAAACAATTGCGAGGGAAATGTAATGTGTACTCGCTGCTGGGAAAGTGAGACAAAACCGGGCAAACGGAAAGTATGCAGTGAATGAGCTCCGCAGCTGGAGACTGGGCTTTCTTTTACACTGAAACACATTTATGTATGTTGGGCAATCAGCAATCCACAAAAAAGTCACGAAAAATATGTCATATGTATTACATGGATTGCTTTTTAATGGTTTCATAGTCGAGCACATACATAACTCGAGCAAATCTTATTCGATCAATTTGAAACTATGACATATATTGCTGTCTATATTAATTATTCACAGAATTGAATAAAAAATTAGCAATAAAACAAAAAAAATTTTGATAACGAAAAAAAAAATCATTTAAAAAAATTATTTGTGAGTCGATAAATACTGTTATATTGAATATGATGCCAACATTTTAAACCAATCGGTTAATATCTTTTCGAGTTATGTAAACAGTCGCAATAAGTTTTTTAAAGAAAAAAATTTTGTTGTTTATCAATATTTAATATACCACTGGGATACAAAATATTGAATTAACATGACCATGATTTCCTACCATTATAAAAAGAATACAACATTGGCATGCAGTTCTGATCCACTAACTTTAGATAAGCCCTTTTTTCAGTGTATTCTTGAAGGTGGAAATAATGGATGCAGGAAGCAGGAAGCCAACAGACGGCGTTCCATTTTCTAAGGCTTTCGGCTTTTGGGCGAAAAGAAAGCAAACAACTTTAGCTCCAAACATCACAATATCGGGGTAGCCGGGAGCTCTAGGAGCGGGGACAAAAGCCCCGAGGGCCCCAACCGATTCATGAGTGCCGGAAATGCTTTATGAGTCCGGCAATGTTTCCTCCCCGCCATAAAACGCGAGCCAGCCAAATTGAAATCTCACTTTGCGCCGCTAACTTTTCATCTTGTGTTTTTTGGCTGGCCCAAAAATATATATATATGTATTTATGCATAGCCCAATGCATAAAGAGTGGCACCAATGCCATTTACAGGATGCTTGCCAAAAAAGCGACGAGAGCGAGGGAGAAAGGAAAGGGAAACGAGCTGCTGAAAGAAGTTTCGCAGCCAAAAAGGCGTCGCTCACTGAATGCAGGCAACGTCTCTAACTGCTCATAATTTATGCTAACGGCAATTTAAACTTCAGCTGTTATTTATTAAAGCCACGTGAAGTCCTTTCACTCCGTCCCTCGCTGCTGTTGGTGGTCGGTCATTGTAAGCCGCGCTTACAACGCCCCACTATACCGAACCCGTGACGCAAGCACAGTGGGGCAATCCTGCTAGATACTTCAGAAAATATTTCCGACTTAACTTGGCCAACAATATTTTACACATTAATCAACTAATTAATTACCTGACACTTGACTTCATTTTGAAATATTTCCATAGTTAATATTTCTGAAACTACCTACCAAAGAAAATTACAAAACGTATATTTTATCCTGGATGTCCTTTCTGATTTGCTTTTATTATCTAAAAATAAATCTCTAGTTGGGTAGCTGTTCTGTGTTTTTAACAATTTTTTTATAAATTAACAGTTCCTTGATAAATATAATATCAAAATTTAATTTCATATTTACAACAATTTAGGAAAACTATATCCTTAAAGTAGAGGTTCTGCGATAAACTTGGAAATAACCTGTTAGCAAATAAAAATTGCTCACCTAAAAAACCAAATTAAATTTTTTATGAAGGTCAGATATGCACAACGTCACACTTTCCTCTGGGAATTCACTTAGTACTCTCTCTCTTTTGCAACTATTTACTTGGCAAGGAGGAAGAATCTCATTGGGTTAATTTTTTCATTAAAGTGCCCCCATAATCGTAATCGTAATCGAGTTCGTAAAACTTTACGCCAGTGAACTGCACACACATAAATGTTATTTTTAGGCCAAATTTTCTGCACTTCCGGCTCACTGTTGTTGGCTGCCAAAAAGTGACCCAAATTTACAGCCAGGGGATGGCTGTGTCTGGGTTTGTTGGCCCAGCCGAAAGGGGTAAGGACTTCCTCCGCACAGTGCCATCAAATTGTTGCCAGTCCCCAGAACCGGGGTGCAGTTGAATGTGTCGCATAGAGGACGATCTGGCTGGTTTCGAGGGACAAATGGAGGGGACTGTCGCCCCTGCAGTCGAGTTAAGTGTTTTATATTTTCGTTTAGCTGCTGAAAGTTGCATCCTTGGCTTGGATCTGGCCTGCATCCTGCATCCATCCATCCACTAACTGCTGCCGGCTGCGTTCGTTGTTTTTATGCAAAAGTTAAAAGGCACAAGCCCGAACAAACACACGGAGGCACAGAAACACACACTCAAATACCCACTCGCTTTTACCTGGCCCATTGCAGTTTAAAGCACTTCGAGCCGAGATTCAAGAGTTTTATTGGTAAATTGGACAGATTGAGGTAAAGTGATATTAATGTCAACGC